TTACTCTTGTATTATGCTCGAACCCAATAATTTACACTACTACAAAAATTACCTTTCATAACACCATCGAATTTTATTTCACCACAACTAAAGGATTCACCATTGTAGAATCTATTCAATTAGGCGATTTCCTTTTATTTTCATTTTTAAGGTCACTTTTCACCATGGTTGGAACTTCTAACCGTGGCGAAAAGTAGCGCCTAGTCATGAGTTTGACTCTTAGCACATAGAGTTTTATTTTTTATTTATTTATTTTAAGCCACTTTTTACCACAGTTAGAACTTACAACCGTGGCAAAAAGTGGTGCAAGATAATGAGTTCAAATGTTGTTGTTGTTGTTGTTCTATGCTGCATTTTATTTTATTTTATTACAAGACATACAACAACGGTTATTTAATACAACCCTTGTTGTACACAGTTTTGTTTTTTTAACATGTACTAACATTTTATTTTATTTTATTAAAAGACATATAACAACGGTTATTTAATACAACCATTATTGTATGTAGCACGTTGTTCACAGATTTGTTTTTTCAACCGGTACTAACATTTTGTTTTATTTTATTAAAAGACATACAACAATAGTTATTTAATACAACTGTTGTTGTATGTAGCGCGTTGTTCAAAGTTTTGTTTTTTCAAGTTGTACTAACATTGCGTGTTATTTAATATAAATCTTTGTCGTCCATTTAGTGGTTACCAATACTCAAAACACTATCATTAGTGATCCACATGAAACATAAAACTTAGACGAACTTCCAACTTATACGAACTTTATCTTCTATCTCCAAACATCATCTTTCATTTTTGACACTCTATTTCTCCACTAAATCAAGATCAAGATTTTTATTTTTTCCATAAGCAAAACTCGAAAATATCATTTCTTTTATTAACAAATTTCAAAAATCCATCATCTCTTCTACAACTTGAATGAGACAAAAAAAAGGATTAATTCAAGTTAGCAGTGTTAGTTTTTGTTGTTTTTTTTTGTTATTGTTGTTGTTGTTGTTGTTGTTGTTGTTATTGTTGTTGTTATTGTTGTTGTTATTATGGTTGTTCTTGTTTTTTTTTTTTGATGTTGTTGTTATTGTTATTGTTGTTGTTGGTGGTGTTATTTTTGTTGATGTTCTTCTTGTTCTTGTTGTTGTTCTTCTTCTTGTTGATGTTGTTATTGTTGTTATTCTTCTTCTTTTTGTTGTTCTTGTTGCTGTTATTGTTGTTTTTGTTGTTGTTGTTATTCTACAGCTGCATTTTTATTTTATTTTATTAAAAGACATACAACAACGGTTGTTTAATACAACCGTGATTGTATGTAGTGCGCTATCCAATTTACTATCACGGGCAATAGATCGTGATTTTAAATAACCCACTTACAATCACACCATACCTAACAATGGTTGTTCAACTGTAATTATAGATCTTTCATAACTGTTATTATATAAGTTTTTGTAGTAGTGTTATCATAACAAGTTGTGTTCATTACACCGTACGTATTAAAAATATTATTGCTTGACACACCTTGTTTAGAGTTATCCATATAATTCACTTAGAAAATGACTGAATGTTTCAAACATTATTACATACGAGAAATTGCAACCTTGTATCAAGTTATCCATATAATTTCACTTAGAAAATGACTAAATGTTTCAAACACTATTACATACAAAAAAAACTTGCAACCTTAGTGTCAAGTTATCCATATAATTTCACTTAGAAAATGACTAAATGTTTCAAACGCTATTAAGTACCAAAAAATTACAATCTTGTATTAAGTTATTGATAGGGTGTTCAAATTAATTGGTTATTTAAATTATTCATATTTATGTTCATATTCAAATTCGGTTATTAAAAACTGATTTATGATTTTAACCAAATTCATATTTTAGATATGTTATTAATATGATTTAAACGAAATCTATAATTTGAACATCCATATTCAAAATAACAACTAAATTAGTCAATTTAAAAAGAAAATTGGAAAAAAAAACTTTTTTTCCATTTAAAAATAAAAAAATTATTTTTCTTGAAAAAGATTATAAAAAGTATATTTTTTCAATAAATTAAAAAAAACACTAATTTTTTTTCCAAAAAAAATGAATTTTTTGAAAAAAAAGTTTTTTTTTTGGAAATAAATTAAATCAAAATTAATTATAAATTTAGTTATAAATATAACTGATTTATAACCATTTTACAAAAATAAAAACCGATTATAATATATAAATTATTAATAATTATAGATTGATTATAAAAAATAACCGGTCATAAACATCCCTAATTATTCATATAATTTCACTAAGAAAATGACTTTATGTTTCAAACACTATTGTGTACAAAAAAATTGCATGTATATATATAGAAAATGTAAAATATTACCAAAAACTTCAAATACTTTATTATAATTTTTTGTCAAATAAAAAATTGTTGAAAACAATATAGCATATAAGAAAATCATAGCAAATTCCTCAATTGTATCTAAGATTTTTTCTGCTTGACATTATGACGTCTGAAAGTTAACTTTTGGATGACGTTATACCATGATTAAAGGAACTTGTTTAGAAGTTAACTTCTGGGTATTATTACCTACTGAAAAAACGGCAAGTTTATTCACAGAAAATATTCAATGTTAGCAAAAATCAATGAAATTTGGTGTGAAAATCTTAAAGTGCGTCCAAAGATAACTTTTAAATGTGGTGAAGGAACACTTTTGAACTTTTCAAAATTTTATACTACTAGAAATTTTGGAATCTAAGATGGGACAAATCCATCTATAAAATGTTAAAAATTCTTCATTGTGGATGTTGGAGACGAAATTTGAGACGTGTCAACATCCCTTGTTGTAGTCTCTGCATAGACAAAAATGATCATATTATCTCGTCTCTGATATTCCATCACAAACACATATAATTTCGTCTTTGCATAGACAAAAATTTAAGCATTTTCATCTTAAATTCTGCCTCGAGTAAAAGATTATTATTTACTTTTAATATTAATAAATACATTATAACATTTGGGTAAGAATTTAATATACTTAATTAAAAATATAAAAAATTCAAATTTCATTCATCATTAGCTTAAAAGTACATGATGTTCTTATATATCATTGAATAAAACTATTATATGATATTAAAATTTTAACTTATCCAAAATATAAAAAGATCATATATTTAATCTTAACAAAAAAATCAAAGAAAATAAGATTAAAATTCATCTTAAAATATTACCATAAAAATGCATACTATTGCATGATATTAAACATTAACATGTCCAAAATATAAAAATACCATATATTTGGTCTAACAAAAATCAAACTTTATCATCAATGATCTCAACATTTTTATTATCCTTCTGGTTGATTAGTATTTAGGCATAAAACTTTCAAACATTTGCTTCCAATACTCCATCGTTTGTTTTATTAATCCTTGTTTAAAAATTTTCTTCTTAAATTCAACAGTTAATGTTTCAATCTTAACTTTAACTTTCAAGGCAGCAATTTTATTTGATGACGCATTGGTAATTATAAAACAAGTTGTGGATTTTGACATGTATTTTAAGTTTTAATGAAATTTTCACTTAGATATTTATTAATAAATACTAATTGAAAATATTAACAAATAATTAGTTATAGCCTAAGTTGGTAAAAATAGTTTTGAAAACTTAAGGGGCACCAGTTTGACTCTCATTGTTCGGGTTTCTTTCTTCTTTAAATAGACAGAAAAAATCAATTTACATTTCAGTTAAAACCTATACGTTTTGTATATTTAAATTCCTTGAAATTCAATATTTTGACATTTATTTTTAATGTTCCAATGTTTAAGAAAATTTATTCCTAAATTTTATTTTCAACATTTTGACATTTATTTTTAATGTTCCAATGTTTAAGAAAATTTATTCTTAAATTTTATTAATATATTATTATTTTTCAATATTGTGACATTTATTTTTAATGTCCCAATGTTTAAAAAAATTTATTCCTAAATTTTATTATTTCCAATGAAAAATAAAATCCAACTAAAAATAACTTCTAATTACCACTCACAACTAATTTAACATTTTTCATTGAATTTACCACGTCGAGAAACACATCTACAAATTTTTTAAAATATATTAAAATTTAATCAAAAAATATATTTAAGCTTTTATTTATTTATTTAACCATTTTATTGTAAACCACGTTAAATAACACTTAAAATAAAAATCTTTATTTAGAGAAGGTTATGATTGATCTCTAAAAGTTTGATTAGCTAGAGACGAAAATAGAGATTGATATTATATCATATAAATCCTTTTCGTCTCTCTTAAATGTTTCTAATTATTAAAAAAAAAAAAATTTTATTTTTGAGACCGAATTACTAACGAAATATGTTAGAAACAGTGAATTTCGTCTCTAGAATTAAAATTTAAAAATTGGTCCAATTTATGATAATCTATTTCGATTTCGATCTCTATTAAATATTAAATTTAATCCGTCTCTAATATCCGTCGCTATTTTAAGTTTTTCTAGTAGTAGGAGAAACATAGAATATATTGAGCAACCCTTTTAATAATTTGTAACTTGTCCATGAATAATATTTTAATTAATTAGGATCAATAAAGAGAATATGAATTAAAAGTAAAATATTATGATGTAAGGGAACTTAACTAGTTGATACATATTCTTAAAAACTATTTTTATGTCATAAAATTCTCGGAATAATTATACTTTTATGTAAATGGATAAGGGAATATATATCTGTGGGAATGAAAATTGAGGTGAGAGAGTAAGTGGCATCCTCTATTATGAAAAACTATGGCTTTCTTTTTAGAGTTTTGTATATCTTTTTTCTTTTTTAGATTTTCTTTAACTTTTTGCGCCTATAAGAAGCCAAGTTCTCATTTTCAAGTGTCATCCACAAACTCACAAGTCACAAACCAATACCTCCATTGTGAGAGTTTGTGAGTGTGTCTTCTTCTCTTTTCTTCTTGTGTAAAGCTTATTACAACAAAGACACACTAAGTAAGATATGGCAGAAACATGTGATAAAATGATCAAAGGGCTACGCAAATTGAAGCCTTACCTTGCCATGGTGTCCCTTCAATTTGGTTATGCAGGAATGTATATCATCACTATGGTTTCATTCAAACATGGCATGAGTCATTGGGTTCTCTCCGTTTACCGCCATGTTGTCGCTACCATCTTCATGGCTCCTTTCGCCCTCGTCCTCGAAAGGTCTCTTTCCTATCATCATACTTTAAAGTATATCTATTTAGACGTCAATGACATATTAATGCATCACTCAGCTCAGGTTCTGATTTTTATTATATATCTAAGATTACTATTTTAGGACGATAATTTTGTCGAGGCTAGTCTTTCGTAATAGTCAAATTATATTTTGGACAAAATAAATATTTATAAAAAAAAAATGCTTGATCCATAAATATTAGACTATCAAAACCAATTAAATTAAACAAATTTCATATACACAAAAACACATATTTTCTTATTATTTTTCTATATGCTAGCTATTAATATGTTGCATATCATTCTTCTATTACAGAAAAATTAGGCCAAAGATGACACTCCCAATTTTCTTGAGGTTGGCTGTTCTTGGTTTTCTTGAGTAAGTCTCTTTCAATCTCTCTCCTCCATTTAATTATCATCACTATATTCTAGGATATCGAATCATAAATTTTGTCTATTTATTATTTGTTCTTAGTCTCTTCATGGGACCTTATGAAAACTATTTCATAATATACACATGCATGCATGCCTTTATTTCATAATAAAATTCATTAGTATAATATTTAGAAAACGTGTGAAAAAATAATTATGAAAAATTAATTATATAGGAGAATATGCGACGACAAGACAATGATGTTATTGCTTCTTATTTTGTCTGAAGTACCTAATGCTTCATATTGGGGTGCCCTTTAATTTCTAGTGGACACATCATTTCGAAGCAATCAACCTACCCACCACAAAAATAATTTTAAACAAAATAACTTTTTTATTTAATTAAAAATATTTTTTTTTGCACTCACCAACAATATTAATGTTAAACACGTATTCTCACTACAACTTACTAATATTTAAAAAATATTATTATTATTATTATTATTACCACCTTTTGGTTTCATTATTTTGTTAAAAAAAAAATACATATTATTAATAAGAAATGAGAAATAAAATAATATACTCAATATATGTATTATTCATCATACTTTTAGTTTAAAAGGTTTTACTTTCTATATAATTTTTTTTGGTTTGTTTGTAATATACAATCTTCTTATGTCTTGATTTAATAATTTAAGCATTTTTTATAGACAATAATTGATGATAGCTTTTAGAATTTGTCTTATGTACTACTCATTTAATTTAATAATTGAATCTTTTAAGCAATCAGTTCATAATAATTAATTAATTTGTTCTATCAAAAGAAATTTTATTTACATAAAAAGAAATCGTATTACAATATTTTTGAATGCATAAAGACTAATTAATAATGATAAAATATTACTTTTTTGTGTGAATATAGTACTAATTTTACTTTAATTTCTGATGGGCTAAAAAAATCAAAGTGCATGATAAAGAGCATCTAAGGAATATATCATATATAGCCAAATTAAGAAATTAGGCACATCTTTTGTACTTTGAGATATACATCACTTTATAACTGATAGCTTAACTTTTATTTTAATAGATTTTATTTTGATTTGATCTTACAAAATTGTATAACAAGTTACATATTTATTTATTTTTATTCTAATAATCAATTATTACTTGACTTTTTTTTTAAAACAGACCAGTGCTGGATCAAAATTTGTACAACCTGGGAATGAAGAATACTTCAACAACGTTTGCATCTGCCACTGTCAACATTCTCCCAGCTATTACTTTTATAATGGCAATCATTTTCAGGTATAACTAAAAGCTTTAATCACTTTAATCACCACAATATTAATTAATAGTTTCTTGTGTGATTAAGCAAACTCTAAAAAAAATATTTATGTTTGCTATATTCACACTCTTTAAGAATATGTTCATATATTCTTGTCAAAAAAAGAAAGAATATGTTCATGTTTATGCATGAAAAACAAATTTGAAAATGGCATATAATATTGTTGAAATTAATTAACTTGTAGGTTGGAAACAGTGAACTTTAGAAAAATCCACAGCGTAGCAAAAGTTGTTGGAACAGTTGTAACTGTATCAGGAGCAATGGTGATGACTTTGTACAAAGGTCCTGCCCTTCAAATCATAAAGGGTCATGGAGGAAGTCAACATGAAAGTGGAAGCACTGAACCCTCTGAACAAAACTGGGTGCTTGGCACTGTTATGCTCATTTCGAGTTGTTGCGGTTGGGCTAGTTTCTTTATCTTGCAAGTACGTAATCATCTTTGTCTGTGTCGTGTCTGTTATACAGTGTCTGTGACGATATCTGATAGAGAATAATTAATAATGTGATTTGTTTTTGTGGATTTTTAGTCTTTTACTTTGAAGATGTATCCGGCGGAGCTTTCTATGACGGCGTGGATTTGCTTTTTGGGAATTTTTGAAGGTGGAATTGCAACATTAATATTTGAACGTGACATGAGTGTATGGTCATTAGGGTTTGATTCTAGGCTTCTTGCTTGTGTTTACTCTGTAAGTATTTTGTAATTTGTTAATTAGCTTAATTAAACTAATAATTAAGGTGACTAATTAGTGATTCAATTTGTAGGGTATTGTGTGTTCTGGAATGGCTTATTATATACAAGGTGTTGTGACTAGGGAACGTGGACCAGTGTTTGTTACTTCTTTCAGTCCTTTATGTATGATCATCACAGCTGCTTTGGGTTCTATTGTCTTAGCTGAACAAACTCATTTGGGAAGGTATACAATATTTCATTAATTATCATACATAATTATCCCTTTATGATTTAAAATTTGATAATCAAAATCGGAATCTAACCGTTAAAGACACGTCGGTCAATCCATCAGAGAAAGTTAGTAACCGATAATATTGACCTAGACAACACTAATATCTAACATTTAACGTGTCAATATTTGTATTTGATATTTATATGACACACGTAGGTTATTTTATTTGATATTTAAATGATACGAACACGTAGGTCATAAGTTAGTATCAGATAATTTTGACCTAGACAACACTAAATATCAACTTAAACGTATATTTAAATGTCTGATATGTGTCTGTGTCTCTGTGTCAGTGTCAGCTGCATATGATATTTATATGACACGAACAAATAAGTTATATGCTAATTTAATTTTGTTTAATTTAATGTGATTTGTAGCATAATTGGAGCCATTATCATTGTGTGTGGACTCTACACTGTGGTGTGGGGAAAAAGCAAAGATAGTGTGAATACAATTGAAGCAACACAAAGTGAGGGACAAGAGTTGCCAATAAAGGATGGAACAAGAACAGAGTCAGACATTTTTGAAAATATTGAGGTCAATGTTCCTAAGGTTGGAGGAATGAATAATGGCAAACCATAAGTACAAGATCATGGATGGTTCCTTTATTAGAATTAACATCACCAATTTTCCTACTTAAATGAAGTCAAGAGAGATTTTGTGCACTTGTGCTCATCTTTCTCAGTGCCCTTACGGCTCCATTTTCATATATATTTTGCTTTTTTTGTTTGACTTTTTATGTTTCTGAAACTTTGAGTAACAATAAAATAATGTTTTTCTCCTTATTTTTGTCATTTCCTCTATCTTAATATTTTTATTTGCATATGTTAACACAAGGATATCAATATAGAAAAAATGTAAGAAAAACATGAAAATTTTTCTCTATATTGATTAATAATTAATAAATCATCTGTTAATTCTAACCAAGTACTTGATAAATGGAAAATATTGACATCATAAATTAGTATATTTAAGAAAATAAATATAAAAAATGGTTATAACAAGTAAAAAACAAATTGGTACTATTTTAAATGATTTATCATTTTAACTTTAAACACATCAAGTTATATAAAATAAATTATATTTAAAAAAGTATAGTTCTAAATGTCATAAATTTTTTGAAAAGTTTGATTTATACTACTTTTGAAAAACTAAAACAAATATTTTAAAAAATGTTGATACTATTAAATTTAACGGACAATTTTTTCATGTTTGTATCTGACAATTTAGTTAATATTGCTAACGTCAAATTTAAATTTATCTATTTTAAAATATCATTTTATTTTAAGGTTGGTGTACAATGTTGATACTATTAAATCTGATGTTGTTGATATTGACTAAATCGTCGGTTAAAATTATTAAAATATTCATAATAATTACAATAAATTTATCTTTTAATTATCGGTTAATTCAATATTTATATTACTAAATTTGACGTTATCAATATTAACTAAATTGTCCGTTAAAAACATGAAAAAAATTGTCATAATCACAATAAACTTTTTTATATTATGAATTTTTAATAATTATTGATACTTTATTATGAAAAAATAATTACTAAACCTTATTTGACAATTTCTTTAAAGAGTGGTAAAGCAAAGATTGCATCTAAATATGGAAAAGAATATTAATTGGAATTGAGTGATTGATGGATGAATGGATGATGCAATAAATATTCTAGTTCTAACATTTCATGATTAGGTGGATGTGTGATTGAGTGTGTCAGCAATTCCATTTAGCTTCCATTACTACATTACCGAACAACACTACAATACAACCAAGAGAATCAAATTCATATTCTAAATTCTAACTTATGGAAACATCCACTTCTAAATGACATTCGAGGCCTAACATGACATATTAGAGAAATATCAATGTGAATTCGGTTGTAAGATTAGTTTATCAAAAAAAATATCAAATTGGATTGATTGATTGATTTGATTTGCTTGTAGATAAGTAGTCACTTCTCAAATAGAAATTATTAAGTGATAACTTGATGATGATGACGATGTTACTACACAAATTATTTGAAATTTTTTCCAGCATACCATTCTCTTAGAAGTTATTATCCATAATGTCATTCTTTTCTTATAAATTTTCATAATATCATAGTTTCAAACACGTTTTGGTTTTTGGGGAAGCACTTCCGCCCTTCCAATGTGCGGCATCGTGCAGTTTATAGGACAGCCGCCCTTTCAATGGGCGGTACAGTGTTGGTCTTTTTTTTTAATGAGTAATGTATTATTATTTATATTTATTATGTTTATGCTCATTGGAGTGTACTAGTAGTTTTGAATTGTACTAGTAGTTTTTTTCTTATATTATAAATACTATCATTAAATAATATTCATTTCAATAATTATATCATGCCGGCAGTGTTTTTCGTTTTAGATAATAATTATATTTATTATATTATTTTTATTTATTATGTTTATTATATTTAGTTAATAATCATTAAATAAATAATTATAATAAATTAAAATAAATTAAAATTAAAATAATTATTTTAAAAATAGTATTATTTAAAATAAATTACTATATTTAAATATATAATAATTATTATAAAATAAAATACAATAAATAAACTAAAATAAATTTTTATTTATTCTTGAAATACATTAAAATAAAATACAATAAATGAACTAAAATAAATGTCACCCTTAATTAATTTCGACCCAGTCGATGTAAGCGTTGGTGGATTCCACAGGCAGGAGTTTGTACATTTCTGGTGGACCTTCTACGATCAACCTCAACGTTTTGGGGCTGTATAGATGGTCCTGCATCATTGTTAGGGTCATGAAGGAAGCGACCAAATCATCACTGAAATCGTCGTCATTTGGTATCGCCGCCGCACTTCCATAACTTATTCTTGTACCCTCGTTACTCCAACTTGGTGGGTTTAGAGGTGGCGGTGCGTTAGTAATGTAGGGAGTGTATGGATGTTGGTCTTGAGAAAGGGTGAAGTTTTGTGAAGGGTAAAAAGGAACTTGTGGTTGGGGTGTTTGGTAGTTGTGTTCTTGTTGGGTAGGTTGAGAGAATGAGAATTGGTTATATTGGGGGTATGATAAGGTTGGGTTTTGTTGTTGGATGTTGAAGGGGTTTGGGTTAAATGATGTGTAAGGTTGATTGTAGTGTTGGCTTGGGGTATAAGGTGGTTGTGTTGGGTTGGGGTTGAATGGGGTGTTAAATAATTGTTGTGGAGTGTTAAATATTGGTTGTGGGGTGTTAAATATTGGTGGTTGGGTGTTACAAGTCATGGAAGGGATGTTATGGAAGTTTGATGGAGTTGGTTGGTTTTGGAAGTTTGATGAAGTTGGTTGGTTCCGAGGGTCCCACAAGTATCTATTTTGTGATAGATACAAATTGGTCACAGATCTATACCAACGCATGTATTCCCTACTGGGTTTACATTCGATATCCATGACATTTCCTCGTAGAACAGTGCGACGACGATTTATCCAATGTTGATGTTCTTGTATGTTGTGGTCTCTCCAATTATCGAATTTCCATTGGTCGTTGGCCGTACTCTTGTGGTACATCTCCATGCATGTAGGTGGACCAGGAATGTCTTGTTTAATTCCGAATTGGAGTTTTACCCTATCTGAATGATGCATTTCAACATAAGTGAAAGAAAAAATGAACGTTGTAGAACTCCACATATCGCTTTCAGTTGGGTGCTCATCTTCAAGTTCAAGATAGGGTCTCCATATAAACTATAACATAATTAAAAAAGGATCAGAAAAAAAAATGAAAAGTGCTAGTAAAAAAATAAGGGATTAGAGACAATACATCGTCTTCCTCAAAATGATCGAAGAACGTCTGATATCCAGGAGCACAATGATGCGGTTTTTTCGTAATTCATCCCATACGCAGACCACCTATGAAAGAAATAGTTAGTAAAAATTAAAGATGAAAAGAATATTTACATAAACAATTTTGTATACTTACTTGGTTGCGTATGGAAAGTGATATGGATTGGGGTTGTTGGGCGATAGTCTGGGCATTCTGGACCATCCCCATGCTTGAATCAAAACACCACAACCAGCAAAATTATGCACATTTTTCATTGCGCATCTACACAAATTTCTGTATAGATGCGCTAAGGTAGCAGCGCCCCAACTATATCTACTTACTTCATTTAAATCTTCTAATAATGGTAAATATTGAAGATGAATAGTATTACCATTAGTATCAGGAAATAAACAACATGCAAAAAGCAGTAGTAAATACATTCTAGTCTTATAAAGTTTTTGTTCCTCGGGAGACTCATTGGTTAGGTTCAAAGCATTATAATTTCTTTTTAGCCATGTGATTTTAATGCTTTGCCCCTTGTTGCAGTGAAAATTTGATATCAAGCTATTAATTAACTTGAACCGTATTTCTTTTTACAACCGGTCTTTAATTTATCCAAAGGATAGGTCTAAAGAAAGAAAGAACCTTTTGCGCGATGTGACAATAACGCTTTAAGAGATTCGGGGATCGGGAGTTAGTTATATCTAGGGAAGTTATTAGCACCCTAAATATCTGTAGTACTCTACAGGAACCTTTTGTTTAATTACTTGCTAAGTTTGTGAATTGTGCACTATGGTTTAAGGATTGGGAATTGAGATAAAATAAATAAAAAGTCCTAAGTGGTTTTCTAAGTTTGCTCGCAAAGGCATCGCACCTTCTGCCTACGTATCCTGACTAGGATAGAATCAGAGCAATCGTAGTTCACCTTACAAGGGAAAAGAACACTTGATGACGATCAAGGTTCAATGGGGAACAAACATGACAATTTGTGTGGAGTTTGACAAAACTCCCTAATCTAAGTTGTAGAAGAGGAAAGTAAAAATTCATGACGATGATTCTTACACAGAGTTGACGAACTCTTTCCTAGGGTTCTAGTTGAAGAACGCTCCTAATACGGGTGGGTTTTTTAGACTTAAGCAAAGTCTAAGGTTTCTAATCTAAGGTGAAAAATGACTTAACAAAGTTAAGAGAGTTAGAGAGAATTGTTCATGACATTGATTAGTCAAGTGGACAGACCTTCCTTTGGAGGGAGACTGGGGAAATAATCAGGTGAAAGCTAACGAGCTTCACCTTTTGGGGAGAAAGGAAAATAAATGCTAAACAAGATAAAAATCAAGATAAAGCATATTCATGGTGACAACCAAGTAAACAATGAGAGATGGTAAAAATGAAACATGAAGGTAACAGTTAACAGATGAAATGATCGATACTGTGGCAATAGTTCGCATTTAATAAAAATCAACAGATAAAAATGGTAACAACCAAGAAATAAATCTTAGCATGTTAACTAACATGTATAGGCATGGATTCAAACAAGTTTCAAGAAAAACATTGAAAGGAAAAAATTAAAAATTCATCTGCAATTACATAAACGATCGCGAAAACACGCATACTTGTACATAAACAAACTGGGTGACAAAAAACCAAACGTGAAAAATAAAGGCATGGCATGAAAGTACACATTAATACGAGCACAACGAAAAAAGAACGGACGAAAAACGATAAAAAACGAGCGAGTTATGAATTTTTGAATTTGGAGTAAAAAATGGGCAATTTTTACAGGTAACTTC